ACCCCTATCATTTATGTTGATCAACTTGGGAAATATTAAAGAAAATCTGAAATATATAGATTCCATTCATGACCCCTCCAATTAGTTGCACTTGGCCAGCATTTTGCATTTTTTCCTTAAACACTCTTCCGTATCATTTAAGAGTATTTCCCCAAAGTAGGGATAAAACTAAAGATTCCAGTTTGGGGACTATTCTGGCACCAGAGAATAGGATTTTTTTTAGATCATCAAGCTGGATCCCATGAATGTCAGACATACGTAACACCAGAGTGTGGGCTATTCCCCAGGAATATTACTGGTATTCCTACCTTCTGCTTCTTTGATTTTAGCTATGTCACCTGTGAATGACGTGACTGCCATTGGGAATTATTCCCACCATATAACAAAGATTTCTCTCCTCTAAAGCATCCCAGAGTAGACTTAACTTCCAGGCGTATTATCCACACATATATCTGAAATAATCAATATGGTTGCTCCTAGAGGCAGTATCCAACTGCAAGGACCATGAGATCTGCATCCTGTGCACTGGTGACAGGAAATGGAGCCCAGTAATTGGGCATATGGCTTCTCAAGCCAGATGACCTCGGGTTCAATCTTAGCACTGTCTCTTAAAAACACATGAGCTACAAATTTACTTAACCTATATAGGCTCATTTTTCTCATCTGTTAAAAGAAGGTAGCAATTAGCACCTATACCATCAGATTATCCTGAGAATAAAAATGGGGTAACATTTCTAAAATGTTTGGGACAGTGTCTGATACAATGACATAGCATGAACTATAAATACTCTTAGAGTTCAAAGTCTGGGTGGGAAGAACCATACATTTGTACATAAAATGTCTGTTAACAAATCTATTTCTATGGAAATACATAGATACTCTTACTTCTAGGCAAGATGTTTTAGTTACATTTGGTCTCTGTCAATAAAATTGGCATATTAATTTTTCTTTCATCTGGAAAGTCAAGAATGCAATTTTTGAAGGGAAAAAGAGCTATACATAATTTAACACAGATTATTAGGTAAAGCTTAGTAAAGGCAATACACCAGAATACGTGGAAAACTTAGAGGAAGGAGAAAGACTCAAAAGACAGAATAAAACAAATTTTAAGTATTCATCATCACAAAATAATTGAACTTGTGAAAACATGATTTGGAATGTTCTCACCACCCAAAAAGCCCCATTAAATTTCTTACAATAACAATGAATTCAACAATATGCAGCAACATTACTGTGATTGTGGTCAGTAATGAATTCAAAGCAATTTTTCTCTCTAGGAGGTGACAATGCAGTCATCTGTGTAGATGTTGAGGAGAAAAATCCGATGGCAGATAGGGTTTATGGTTGGGCAGCCTAAGGAGCTTAATTCTTCCATGTCTGTCCATCTACTGACTGGACCTCCATGGACCTAGATCTCTTTGTTTTTCCTTCACAGCAGCTTTCCACAAGATAGGAACTATGTAGGTGCATAGCCGTAGAAATCTTCTGAAAATGTGTATTTTGCTTTCATAATGCCTGAAAACAGCTAAACACACTGCCGAATGTGTATGTTTTGTATCATCTGGAATAGAGACTAGAAAATGAAGTTAATAGGCTATTTTATGTCTTCTCACAAAACAAGGTCAAAATACTCTTCCATTCTGCCCTCTGTGTGGGCCCCAGGACTGCTTCTAGTACTTCTAGGAGCCCCACAGGAACAGCTGGGCCAAAGCAGCCCCTTTCACCCCTGCACCGTGAAACCATGACCATCACTGATCCTAATTTCCAACAGAGAAGAAAAATCTGATCATTTAATAAGTCCCGGTCTTTAAAACCATACTTCAGACTACCACAGAACTGTTCTGCCCTAGAACACCCGGGCAAACAAGCAGAACATGAACAAAGTGCCTCATGGAGGAATAAAGACCAGGAGTAGCATCCAGTGCTCTGCAGGTGACAGCACAGCATCAGTCAGCCTGCACCACCCTGGCAAACAGAGTGGGGTCACAGTGGGCCAGGCAGAGACAAGGCTGGGCTTCCCTTCACAGCCTCTCTGCCTCTTTCTAGCCCCAGGCACCTGAGGATACAACACCCTGAAGAAAGACAGACACATGGAGACCCACAGACTCTGATTATAGCACTGCTGCCAGTGGCAGTCCAGGTGTGCCAGCCTGTTACACAGGCAGGCAGCCAGCCAGTCCACGGGAAGGCAAAATGCTTCCCCGCTGAATGCAATGCAGGCTCCACTACTAATATTTTATTTTAAAAATATTTTAAAATAGAAGGGAAGAAAATAAACTACACACACAGTTCTACAAAAGCATCTTCTTTATAGTCTCTTGCTTTAAATAACATAAATGATTTTAAATATCATTATGATAGTATTCAGTAACGAAAAGCAGTTTAATGAAATCACAGCTCATTGGCTTAGGGAAAGTAACCATCCACCTTGCTATCTCAGTGGCACTGAAAGCCACCCTGGCTGGGTTTTATGAATGTGGTATAAACATTTGAACACAAAGTTTCAAATTCAAACTAAAATGTGTCTAAGTGACCCCCTTTCATTCCAGTATTTTCAGGACAAACACATGATAAAATTTATGTACAGGGTCATCTCTCAGTGTCCATGGGATATAGGTTTGAGGAGCCTGATAGATAATGGAAATCTACAAATGCTTGAGTCCTTTATATAAAATGGTATTGTATTTGGATATAACTACACACAGCATCTCATGCACTTTAAATCAACTCTAACCTACTTATGATGCCTAAGATAATGTAAATGCATATAAATAGTCACTGTACTGTGCTATATAGGGGCAAAAGAAAAGAAAAAAGTCCATACTTGTTTAGTAAAGACACATTTTTTTTCTGGTACTAAGGATTGAACCCAAGGCCTTCACATTGAGATTTTTCTTTTCTTTTCTTCTTTTCTTTTCTTTTCTTTTCCTTTCCTTTCTTTTCTTTCTTTCTTTTTGAGACAGTGATGCACTAAGTTGCCCAAGTGGTAAGATTTGAACTTGTGACCCTCCTGCCTTAGCCTCGTGAAGTGCTGGGATTGCAGGCATGCCCAGCAAACACAATTTTTAGACCTATTGTCAATCTGTCATTTGTTCACTCTGTGAATGCAGAAGCTGTGGCTACAGAGGCCCGATTGAATCATACTTCTAACTGATTCTGCATTTTTTCCATGCCATCCAGAGGGAAAAATCCCCCATACACACAGACACTGGGGCTGCCACAGTCTCATAAATTCAGGTGTCCTGGCAAATCAAGCTTTGGGAAACCAGAGGTAACAGCACCTTCATCTCTTTTCTCCGAGCTTCAGGTATCTGAAGGCGAGATGCTTCTACCTCTGTTTGCCAGAGCACTCAGCTCTAAGTGGTGTCTGGCAGGGAGGACTCACCCAGGCAACAGGCAGTGGAGAAGCGGCCCCCTGCCAAGCCCACTTCCTGTCTAGAAGTCCCCTCTCCTGGACAACCTATTTCAATTCATTTGTTCTAATCTTACTTCTGATCAGGCCAGCAGCCCATTAATCATTCCTGTCATCCCCCTGCAGAATCCAGGGCAACAGATCTCTGTTTGTCCAAAATCACAGTGCCAGAAACTGAGCTGGAGCAAGAGGAAATTCTCTGCTCTTTACCGCACTGGCTGGAGCACTGATTGGAAGCCGCCACCAGTTGTGTTCATTTTCCTCTTTTGGCCAGAGTTGTACAGAACATTCCATGGAAAGTTTTGAAAGGGGATTCAGGTGGGAAGTGGAGCTGGGGAGGCTGGGGAGGGACCCGACATGTGAAGCCACCAGCTGAGGAGGACATGAGAAAGGGACGTGGAGAAATAAACGGCAAGATGATGGATATGGGTTAACAAATCCCTCATTAGTAAGGCTCCATGCTTTAGCAACTTCCGACAGCAGAGGAGGAGTGTTCAAGGTAAAATGTGCAGGCAGCAAGGTCCTCTGTCCCCTGAAGTGGTGGAAAAATAAAATAAAGTAGGCCAAACAAAGCATCCCTCGGTAGCAAAGAAAAAGCCAGTTATGGAGATGATGCACTGGATTGTATAAAAAAGGTAGAAATGACCCTGAACCCATTCACACTTGAAGCTCACATAATTTTTATAAGTCTGAATCTGTGGAGCAGGAAAGAATACTAAGGACATACTGACAACAGAAGACAGAGAACCATGGAGAGTGCTGAAATCAGACTAAACTTGGCCTCTGACTCCTGTTCACTCTGAGACCACTCACACAGCAGATGAGCTCCACAGTCATCTCTGCACAGCTTGGAGATGAATGGCCCCATGTGCAGGATTTACCATTTGGAGACTTGGTTTCTCCTTCCATGTCTGACATCACCAATTTGATCAAGAACAAGTCCCTTTATAAATGAGGGCGAATGCCCAAAGAGGTAAAGTGAAGGCCCTTTGCCAACTCAGAAGTCCTTCCAAGATCCTTGGACTCTCCTAGGTGGCCTTGAGATCTCTTGCAGCTCTTTGACTCTATGATTTGATTATGCTTATCAGAGAAAAGAGCGCATTTCACACACAGGGGTGTTTCTCCAGGGTGGCCCTGAGTCAAATTGTAATGGGTAGCAATCAATTATGTCCCAAGTGGCTCTATATGAATAAGTGTTTTAACATCACAGTTTGTGAATGATTTACTTAAAACCTAAATTATAGCCATTTAGCTATAATTTAGTCATGAGATTCTTTTAGCTGCCATTTTTCAAAAATTACTGGCAGCCATGGTACAGAAGAGAAATACAGTCAGTGGGGAGACTATGAATTTGGCTATATAACAGCAATAGGGATATTTAAAATATGGAGAACACTGGCTCACTTAAGCTCACCAAGAAATGGTATATGAGAGGACGCGGGTAAATGAAAGGATTTGTGTGGGTAAATTTGACCTAACTATAATCTTAGAAAGACAACCCCACATAATCCTATGCCTTAATAAAGTTTAGGAAGAAGAAAGGGTACAAATAAGCCAGCAATAATTTGAGCTTAAAAAGGAAGCTTACCACGAATGCTATCGTACTTCTTAGTGTGGACTCCCACTGGAAGCAGCTTTTAAGGAACTGTATTGTATTCCATATAGCCACACTGAGTCTTCTCACACGGTCTATGTCTCTTGATAAGATCTGATAAAAATAATAAACAGGGAATTACATTTGCAGTACCTTTAGGTCCTATTACCTGATCATTTAAATTATAATTCTGTAGAGGTGTTAATTAAAAAAAAATAGAAAGTAAAAGTCCTGATACTTCTAAAATTCTTTTCAAATTTATTAGCATCCATAGAGGAAAAGCAAATCCAATGTATGTTTCAGCTCATTTGGTAAAGAACAGGCTGTTGCAATAATGTTCAGCATAGATCAAGCTGGCAAAAGCTATAATGACTGAGGATTTGGTATAGGTAAGTGTGTGTGTGTGTGTGTGTGTGTGTGTGTGAGAGAGAGAGAGAGAGAGAGAGAGAGACAGAGGTAGAGCTAGAAAGAAAGAGCGAGATGGGAATGAGTGCTGAGGTTTAATATGGAAGTAATTTGATAGATTAATCATGGAAACATACATAGCCAGTGACATAGCCAGTGACGGCAAACCTTTTAGAGATCAAGTACTCAAACTGCAACCCAAAACCCACTTATTTATTACAAAGTGCCAACACTGCAGTTAAACCCAGATAGTGAGGTTTTAGTTTAGGAAAGACAGCTGTTAGGTGAGGCCTGGCTGCTGGGATGCCTTGTCTCTCCTGCTGACAGAGGGGGTTCTGCCTGCCCGCTGCGGAATGCATCCTGTAGGTTCACCACCTTTGGTTGTAGGTCATCTAGTCCCAAAGTGTATAAGAGAGGGAATCAAGTTCTCCTACTTGCTTGCTGTAAAACCTTGAGAAATTCTCTTAACCTCTCTCACAAAATAATATTGACAGTAGGTCTAACGTTACAAGTGGTGGTGAGACTTAAGGCCCTTAGAAAAATACCTGTCATATATCAGGTGCTTTTAATTATGTGTATCATAAGCAAAAATTGCAACTTGATGAACATTTGGGGAAGCTAAGTGGTCAGAGGCCTGTGGGGAGGGTCTTGCCACACCCCAGGATTTCAGTCCCCAACCTCCCACTCCTCTCAGTGTCCAAAGCCACCACACAGGCAGGTCCTGTTTTGCAAAGGAATCTTTTTTCCCCCACTTATAGGTAGATTCGTTTCAATTTGTTTGCAATGTAGCTACCCTACCTACCTCAACCCAAATTTTAACTTTCAGGTAAACAGAGCAAACAGCAGAAATAATAATAAGACATTTACTCATATTACACAAAATAAATACTGCATTCAATGTTGGCGTAGACAAAAAAAAAAAAAATAACCATGCAGATGCTTCCTTTTGGAAGACTCCGGAGGCCTTTCCCAAGTGTGCCCAGAAGTTCACGGGAAACAAAAGGATGATAAGGTGCCTTTATATTGAACTGCTTTGTGTCATCCACAGCTGTCTACCCACAGGAAGTGGGGGAAGTAATAAATGCCTGAAAAGGGGACACTATGTTCTCTGCTACACTCTGAAGAAGGACAATGGGTATGGACTAAAATCCTGAGCTGTGTCTAAAGAGGACAGGGAGGGACCCCGAACAACAACCACAAAAAGGTAATAACAACAATAATGATAATAATAATCATGAAATTTCCCCTCCTAATCCCTACTCTTCACTGAGGGTTGAACTGATGTGAGAAGAATTTAGGGCAACAAGCAGAGAGAGAGACAGTTAAGTCACTGTGGGGTAAAATGCCAACACGGCCCAAATTTGTATAACACGAGAGAGGTAAGACCAGTCAAAGGAAAACTGGAGGCCAGAAACCTCCAAAGATGTACCTTCTGAATGCCTGGGCCACTCAAGGGGCAGACACCTTCCTGAGATTTTAACGCCCAGAGATGGACAGGGCTGTGAGGGAGGAAATTCAGGAGAGAATTCAGGAGGACATGTGTGCTTGATGCTGGGAATTGTTCAGAGAATGATCTAGGAGAATGCTGGAGGACTGACACTTCAGCTTCATCCTACAGAGAGGCTGTAATTCTCCCCTCTCTCACGAGCTGGCTTAAGCCCTTGTTTGGGGAGAGAAGGGAAGCCAACTGGAAAGGAGAGGAGATAGGAATAGGCAGAGGGAGAGGGAGAGAAGCACATAAGTCATGACCAAGAAGCTCTTCGGTACTGGGTGCTCAATGTACCCACAAGACACTCGCGGTGCTGTACTGACCTACCTTTTTGGACAGCTTGCGGCTATCTTCAACAAAGCGTTTTTCTCTGGGAGTAAAGGTCCTAATACTGGCCTTGACCTAGAAAGACACCACTGTTTAAAAGGGCAGCATTCATCTGGACTTCATTTTGCTTTTCAGTAACTGGGAAGAACAAAGACACCAATACCTCCGACCTTCCAGCTAAGACAGGAAGCAGAGGTGATGGCTGAGCACCCTGCGCTGTGCAGATTCTGGGGTCTCATTCCATAAGAGACCCTGGGGCTCAGACTGCAGCTGGGAGAATGTTGTTGCTACTCAGCTAACTCCACAGGGGTGTATTTGAAGCCACTGCAGAGACCGAGGCGCGTAACTTCTTAAACCAGTGTCTCTGCAAGCTAAAATTTCCCTCTAGTGTCTCTCAAATAAGGCTTCATCAATGATACCTGACATGTGAATAGCAGCTTTCAGCTGGTAACAAGCAACCCTGCCACAGTGAATCTCATTTCCTTCCAGTGAACTGGAAAACTAAGTAGATGAGCCATGATAGCCCCATTTTACAGGAAATAAACTTAGGTTCATGGTGGTCTTGTGATGGAGTCAAACCACCAGCAGGAGGAATGGATAAAATCCAAGTCCTTTCCTCTTCATCAAATAAATAATGGAAAATAATCACTTAACCAAAACACTTTCAATTTAAGGATCAACTTTCTGTCCCTTAAACTCAGGTTTTTCCTGAGCATAAAGTCTCTTGATATAATCCATACAGAAGGCAGCAGGAAACAAGGGGTCATCTATCTTGTAACCTGCACATATTTTGTTGAAGGGAAATGGAGAAAAAGGGAAGAAAATAAAAGAAACATACTCTTATTCTGAACACTGTATTCACAGTCCTAGCACTACTGAAAATTTGCCAATATATAAATAAAAAATTAATTATTATATGAAAGGTGCTATGCATTATATATTGCCCAGATTATATATTCCAGATGGTATAGAGGGTAAAGATATCATAGATGTTATATTATACTTAGATATATACATCTATTGTATAGATTTTATAACAAATTTTACATTATAGAATTATTTGCATATATAAATTATATAATAAATAATACATCTACATTTCTACAAATCTCTATATATTAATGTGTTATATATAAAACCTACTTTTCCCCTTTATTTTCATTTACTGTGAAGTAAATACCATCAATTCTGTGGGCTCAACTTGCAAGCCAAGGTGCTCAACCCAGATTTTATGGTGAAGTTTTTAGCAAAAATGTTCTCTTTTCTCTCTCGTGACCACATTTCTGAAATACTGAGCATGACTTTGAATCTCTGAATGCCTTTTATTTCAGGTATACAAAAGTAGGGCGGTATGGCCCAGTGAGACTTACCGGATTATATATGAGATCCATCTCTAAGTAGATGACTCCTTTAAAGGCTTGTTCTAAATCTTTGTTCTTCAACACGTAACAATTTAGTTCTCCATCTCTAATCTGCTCGAATAAGAGATAATACATTTATTGGTGGAAACTTTCTGTGTGGTTTAAAGGGAATAAGCAAAAGTAACTTTGGCAAAGTTGAGAATGTAGCGTGATTAACCAATGAATATTGAACAGGTATTACATTCATCACAAATCAATTTTTAATTACAGAATGCTATTATAATTGATAAGAGGATAAAGTAATATTTACCAGGTGAAAACTAGGAAAGTGATAGAATATTATTGGTACAGATCGTGACTGGACTACATTTCTCTTTTTTTAAAAAAAATAAAAAGCAGTGTATTCAAAAATAACAAATATTCTACAAAAGCCTGGGCCAATATTCCACAAGACTGTCAAGGTCATGGAAAAGAAGAAAAGACTAGGAATGCATCATAAATCAGAGGAGACTGAGGAGATAAGATGATTAAATATATTTTGGTACTCTGAATTGGATCCTGGGACAGAAAAAGGATATTAGTCCAAAATCTGGTGAAATCCAAATAAGGATCAGAGTTTAATTATTAATAATGTATCAGTGTCATTTGTTTTAGGTTCTGATTGACATATCATGGTAATTTAAGATGCTAACATTGGAATAATCTGCATGAAAGTTATATGAGAACTCACCAGTCTGCAATTTTTCAAATTTAGTTAATCTAAAAACATTCTCAAAAAGATTAAATGTACCAAAGAAATTAATACAGAAGCTGATTTTTATAAAATGATCTGTATTTCACTAACCAGAAAACAATGTAAATTAAATAGATAGAACCAGGTTAGCTAAAGTTGAGGTCAAAATCCAAAATCATTCCTAATGCCTAAAATAGCAATAAATCTTCAAAATAAAGAAGTTTGCCAGTGCTAAACACTAAGCTGCCTTCAGACTCCAGCACAGGAGACAGCGCCTGCATCATTTTAGAAACTATGAAATACAGGAAGACTCCCATGAAAGGCATGTTAATTAGCTGGATTTCATCATACTTTAGATTTAATAGCAGGCATGGTTCCATTACACACAATAGTAGTGGTATATGGACTGATTACACTTCTGGCTTTTCAGAACATACCTGTTAATGCTAAAAGGGCCTCTGCAAAGCTTAAGTTTATCAAACATTCTATTTTGGAATTGCAATGATCAATAATTTACTCAAATTAGAGATTGGAGGACATGGAAATAGAGCCATATTTTAAATGACTATTGCTGTCACTAGAAGCATTCACAAGAGTGTTCTTATAAACAGTGGTGGAAATGAGTTGACTGAGTCACAGGGGGAAACAGCAATTCCACTTTACAAGGGAGAGGTCATCTTCCTTCCCAAAGTCACCCCACCTCTCTCAGATTGAATAGCTTTTATGCAATATGATGGTTTTCCTGGCCACTGGCTGAGAGGAAGGGAAGGGATGCCCCATAAAGACCCGGCTTCCTTCCTCAACGGTGTCCAAACAGGATTCTGAGCTTCTGCTCTGGTACACAGTCTCACTTAATAAACTGTGAGTGTTAAAGTTGAAAGAGATAAATACAAAAACAGCATGACTCTTTGCCAAGCTGCATTTCACCTAACTTAACTTTGCTTTAACCCTCAGCCATTATACTGTATTCTTAAAATTTCCATGCTTTCTTAAGGATTGAGGAAGATCAAAAGACACGAGGTATCAGTATAGAAAGAAATACTTTATAGCAAAAGGTTTTTCTTTTTTATATTTTGTAAATGACCATTTCCTGTTACTCAATGTCCTTAGAATTGTGTCAGCAAAACCCAGAATCCACCTAAGGACATGAAAGTCATCATCAAAGCTAGGTATAGTTAAAGCTATTCATGTTCAGCACTGTAATAAAAAATTAACTTAAAACATACAAATTCAACAAGTTTAAAAATTACTGGAGGAACTAACATCCCTTTGAATTTCTATAAATATCACAATTCTTTCCTCTGAATAGAAATTCAGTAGGAATTGGGTATGCATCATTTTAAAAGTTTTACTAAGAATTTATAGTCATAAAAATAGTATTACAAAAGGATTTAAGACTTTTGGCCTAACTGGCACTCTGTAGATATTGCAACTTCAGTTTGTATCTATCAATATGGGTTTGTATTAGCATATAGATGTGCCTAATGTTAAAACTTCTATACAATATTCAAAATGCAAATAAACTACAATTTATTAATGAAGATTTATTGATTTAACTTTTCAATCTGTTTGCTACAAAGAATATATTTAAAAATGGTAAAGGGTAGAGGGAAGAGCAAACATAGGAGGTTGGATTTGAAGCATGTTTGAATTAAGAATAGGTAAATGCATTTGTATATTTAGGGTTATAATTAAATACTGTACTGAAATGCTAACAGGAGAGACTATGTTTTTAAAATATCTTTATTTTCCACTGTATTTATGAAACTGAACCAATACAAGAATATAAGTTAAAAAATTTATCTTACATCCCAACTTGCCAAGCTCCTATAAGAAAGCAAATAATAATAGGAAATAAAAACTAAACGTAGATTTTTGAGTCAACAGCTAAGGTCAGTATTTGTACTTAGAACTCTGTAGATAATTTCTAATACTTTATCATTTTAAGAAATCTATTAAATAAGGTAATTAATGTACACTCAAAAACATTTTAAGGAGACAATCTCTATTTTTTAATCTTTGCATATGAGATAGCAGTTCAACTAATTTTGATGTCCCTGTCATCAAAGGCAAAAAGAAGTGAAACAGATTTTAATTTACGATGAAAGGAGGACTCTAAATATATGTAGGGGGCCTTTCTGGGTTTACAGGGGAGGACTCCATTTTACTCAAATATAAAGGTCTTGGATTTAAAGAAAAAACTAGATAATATCTTTAACATCAATTTTGTAAGGTAAACTCTTAAAATTGACCTATCACCTATGGTTTTATACTGGGCTTTTCATAAGTGAAGGATGTACGACAGTAGGCAATAATCGGAGGAAAGCGTCTCCACCAGTGACGTAGATGTAACCTACTAAAGAACAGAAACTTAACTATAACCAGGAAAATGGGCATTTTCACGTCCCTTAGATTATTTTCAGATACAATATAAACATCATAAACTTTTATCAGAAGCATGCTAAGAGTTAATTCCTGGCCACATTATTTGGTGTATGAGAGAATACGGGAAGTTTGTTTCTGAGTAATGATTTAGGATTCTGGAGTCAAAGGAAAAGTTACCAAGAAGGCAGTCTGGTTTAAAATTTTTAGTCTGATCTACAAACATCCTTAAACTAATCAACATTTTTTCTATATGAAAGAATATTAAATTTCCGTGAGTTATAATCATAGTAAAATACTAAAGGCTTTCTACAAATTAGTTGACTAAAGAATTATCATTATTATGGTTGACTATAAAAAACTTTGGTTCAATGCCACGCCAAATGATTTAATAGCAATGTTAATCAGAATCTATAGGAAGGAATAAAATAAATAGCTAAGCATAAATGGGAGGAGTGATACACATTTAAGATAAAAATCCAGATGAAAGAGCCATATGGAGTCCTTCATTGTGGGATCTTCAAATGAGAACATGGAGATGTGGGTATAAACCAGCATTATCCAAATAAATAAGGCCTTTCATTCTGTGAGGAAAGCAGAACACTTTTGTGTGACAAGGTGACACACCAATAGGTCCCAGCTGATGCTCATGCAAAGTGACTTTCCAACAAAATGCCAGGAGGACAGAAACATGGCTTAGCAAGAGGACAATTAATACACTACTTGGTAGCAATTCACATTCACCCCACTTGGAACTGAGCCAGTTCCAAAGACATGAGTTACAAACAACATGAGAGATTCAAATGTCTATGAGGTCACTGTTCGCACAGGGACCAACCAGTGGATTCATCACAGAGTTCATTCCTTCAAGCCCCTTCCACTTAGTATTCCACCTCTTTTCCTTTCCCAGGCAATTTGTCCACTCACTGCCCCAAAACAAAACCAGTCAACTTTGGAAATGCCACAAAACCTTGTTGTGCTAGTTCTTATCATCTATTCTCCCTAAAATATGTTATTTACAAAAGTAGTATACAGTAATTCTAGAAATTGGGTAAAATTTACTAAACAAAAATTAACAGGAAAAAATATAACACTAATAATATTGAACAAATAAAAATTTAACAAGTAAACACACATTTGTAGTTTTTAATGTACATTTATACTTATGTCTCATAAAAATAGAATAGGTAATATTTGGAACCCTGGAGGCAGATGAACTGAGTCTAAATTCCACGTCTGCCTCAGACTTGCTGGGTAACTTTGGAGAAGTTACATAATCCCTCTGTTCTTAGTTTCCTGATCTGTACAATGTGAATAAAAATAGTACACACTTAGAAGTAGCTGTGAAATAAGTCAGCAAAAAGCAACATTGTAACACTGACAGGTACATAGTAATAACATTGTAACACTGACAGGTACATAGTAATAACATTGTAACACTGACAGGTACATAGTAATAACATTGTAACACCGACAGGTACATAGTAATAACATTGTAACATTGACAGGTAAATAGTAATAACATTGTAACATTGACAGGTACATAGTAATTACACATTAAAATATTATCTAGTTTTAGTCTTAATTTATATTCTTTTTAATAGCTTGTCTTTCAAGTTTAACAATGTACAGAAAGCATTATATTTCTCCCACATAATTGATTTTCTTTTATAATTCAGAATGGTTTTCCACCTTCTGAATATTCTATAATGAACTTGACTAATCTTGTTGCAACTCATTAAGACCATTTTCAGTTGGTAAAAACTGTAAACAGGATGATGTATTCCTAGATATCTTTATGTACCCCGAGATACATTTCTTAAGATAAATGTCTAGAACTGGAATTGCTGAGTCATGTGGCTATTTTAAGACTAAGAGCAGTATTGCCAGTTTGCTTTTTTGAAATGTGCTGATATATATTCCCACCCTCAATGAAGAAGCCTATTTCTCGGTAGCTTTACCAAAGTAGGGCATTTTAATTTGATATATAGCAGTT